GCTGGGATGAAATGAAACCCAGCAGCTCTGCCCCAGTGGCACCATTACATGCAAGCACCGAGTGATATGGATGTTGCTCCAGCAAAGCCAGTTGGAAATTGCTCCCTGTCCCCACCATGCTCCCGGACACCCCAACAGCTCTGCCAGCCCCCACAGGTTCTATTTACCCCCTTCCCAGACAGAGAAGAAAGGACCAAGAAGGTTAAGTTATTTTTAGGGCAAATGCTATATAAAGAACATATTACGTGTGTGAAAATAATATTTATAATCCAGCACGCTAACTTAATGTTGGTCTGTGGATAGTTATATATATCCAATCCTCCAGTGATCAATTCTTGTGAAAGGCAAGGATCCCAGCAGTCACTCAAAATCCTGATCTTGGATGCCTGGGTGGCTCAGTCAGTTAAGCATCTGCCTTCAGCTCAGGTCATGATCCCAGGGTCCTGGGATCAAGTCCTGCGTCGGGCTCCCTGCTCGGCGGGAAGCCTGCTTCTCCCTCTCCCACTCCCCCTGCTTGTGCTGTCTCTCTCTCTGACAAATAAATCAATAAGTAAAATATTTTTTAAAAAGTCCTGATCTTGAGAAAAGGGACATTCTGGGATTCTGGACTGGGTGGCTGAGGCAGGTTACAGAATCCTATTCTGGTGAGCTTTAAAAATTAAGCAGGCACAGCTTCCTGATTATTTGGGCTGCTCTTCCAGAAGCGGCGATGATTTACATAGCTTTCAGGATCCCTTTCAGGCTAAGACCCTATAATGTTTATCTCTGTTTTGCTAGTCTTTTCAGCCAACCTTCCCCTTGTTTTCCTCATTCCAAATGAAGAGCTGAGCTAGAGCAAGACCCAGACCCAGATTTTGTGGGACCCTGAGGCTTATACATATTTGAAGGACCCTCTTAAAGAAAAAGAATTTTATTATTTTTTTAAATTTTATTTATTTATTTGACAGAGACACAGTGAGAGAGGGAGCTTCAGTAACACCAGTGAATCTGTTCCCTTTTAGAGATCTCTTCAAACTCTAAGAAGTCCACCTGTTCTCTCCTTCTTCCAAATCTTTTTCCCTTCCCTTCCCTTTTGTTTATTGGTTCCCCTCCTTTCCCATGAGGCATCTGGGACCAGAGGGACCTGCAGGGCCACCTGAGGAGGCGGTAGTGGGGGGTGAAGAGGGACCACATACACAGGGAATCAGGAACTATGAAGATACATTGAGGGTAGTGGGAGCTGGGTTTCTCACTGTTGGGGAATAGAGTTAGATATGGGAAGGGCTGAGGCCAGAATAAACCCACCGTATGGAATGGAAGGAGAGATATGGGTGCAAACTCATGTTTGTTTGCTTTTTTTAAGTAAGGTCTAGGCCCAAGGTGGGGCTTGAATTCACGACCCCAAGATCAAGAGTCACAGGCTCCACCAACTGAGTCAACCAGGCACCCTGCAAACTCATGATTTTTTAATATACATAAATTTGGAAATAGATGTAAATGTATATGTATAAATATATGTGTGTGTTTTAATATATACTGTTAATAAGCAAAAATTCAACTGAGTAAATATGAAGATCTAATTGGCTTTACTAAGTGATTCACAGAATCAGGCAGCATCCGATCTAGCAAGGAGAGGGGAACTCTGAGGAGCCGTATAAAATGGAAGATTTTTATAAGAAAGACAGTGGGGCAAGAAGTTATTAGCAAAAGAAAAGATCGGTCCAGGCAAGGTCATCTCCCCTTACAGTGAAGGGCATGGGTTCTTATTAGGTGGATTACCTCATCTTTGGGGGATGGAGAGGGCCCATGTGGTAGATTATCTCATTGGTACTAATTAGAAAATTCCTGACTGACCAGTTAAGACTTACATTTCTGAGGGAAGTTGAAACTGCAGTTAGGTTAGGTATTAAGCCCCAGTTTGGTAACTTGGCCTAAGTGACACCATTTTGGGAGTGTGGATTTCTTTTTAACAATATAAATTATAGTTACATATGCACATATATAAATTATATTTATATTTATATACAGATATACAGAGAGAAGGGTATAGCAAATGTCCAGACTCCCAGAACGTCCCCTTTCCCAAGATCAGCACATCTAATCAGCACATCTAATGCTCAGGTCAAGGTTTCTAAATATTCTCTACTAAAAGGAGCCAAAGTTCTTTGGGAGAAGAGCTCATGTCCAGTATGAGACAAGGAAAGTACAAAATGAAGCTAGAATATTTAATTGTGTCAAAAAATAAGGAAGTTCTCAGGGGCGCCTGGGGGGCTCAGTCGTTAAGCGTCTGCCTTCAGCTCAGGTCATGATCCCAGGGTCCTGGGATTGAGCCCTGCATCGGGCTCCCTGCTCGGCGGGAAGCCTGCTTCTCTCTCTCCCGCTCCCCCTGCTTGTGTTCCCTCTCAAGCCGTCTCTCTCTCTCTGTCAGATAAATAAATATATAAAATACTTTGGACGCCTGGGTGGCTCAGCTGGTTAAGCGACTGCCTTCAGCTCAGGTCATGATCCTGGAGTCCCAGGATCGAGTCCCGCATCAGGCTCCCTGCTCAGCAGGGAGTCTGCTTCTCCCTCTGACCCTCTCCCCTCTCATGCTTTATCTCTCATTCTCTCTCTCAAATAAATAAATAAAATCTTAAAAAAAAATAAGGAAGTTCTCAAAAAACTATAAGAATTTATCAGAGTCGGGGCGCCTGGGTGGCTCAGTCGTTGGGCGTCTGCCTTTGACTCAGGTCATGATCCCAGGGCCCTGGGATCGAGCCCCATATTGGGCTCCCTGCTCCACGGGAAGCCTGCTTCTTCCTCTCCCGTTTCCCCTCTCTCACTATGTCTCTCTCTGTCAAATAAATAAATAAAATCTTTAAAAAAAAGAATTTATCAGAGTCACAGGAGCCAGTTTAACAGAGTTCCCATGGCCAAATCTGGAACAGTGTGAGCATCTTAAAAGAAATAACGATAGTGTTCGAGTATAGTCCATTGAATAGAAACAGAATCCATGAACCCTAGTGATAGATAGAGCTTACATTTAAAAAAAAAATTATAAAAAAAACTCCCACAAAGATCAGTTTCAGACCACTGTTGGTTTCACAACAGGCTGAAATTTCAGCAGCTGTTTGTTCTTTGCTGGTGCAGACCACCTCCACAGGCCCTGATCCATGTGCCCTCGGATGTGATGCACTGAGAAGGACAAAGCATCACTTCTGAGGCCTTCCCCCTGAAAATGTATAAACTGGAATCTCTTCACAAGGAAACATTACACAGGCTTGAAATGAGACATACTCCACCAAATAATTTTTTGTACTTTTCAAAAAGGTCAAGGTCACAAAAGACAAGGAAAGACTGAAGAACTGTTCCACAGTGAGAGACACAAGAGAGAGTATAACTAAGTGCAATATGTGATCCTGGGTTGGGTTCTGGGACAGAAAAGAAATATGCCTGGAAGGGCCAGGGCCAGATGGTAGTATCTTATCAATGTTAATTTCCTGCTTTGGGTGGTTATACTGTGATTACACAGGAGAATGACACCGTCTTTAGTAAATGTGCACTGCAGTGTTTACGAGCAATGGGTCATAATGGTATCTTAAGTCTCAATTGGTTAGAAAAAATAGGATCTATTATGCAGACACTGAAAGAGATACAGATATATATATACAGAGAGAAGGGTATAGCAAATGTTGTAAAATGTCAATAATTGGGGAACCTAGACAAGGAGTATGTTAGAGTTCTTTGTACTATTCTTGCAACTTTTCTGAAGGTTTCACATTATTTTGAGATAAAAAGAAATATGTTCCATGGTTTTCCCTAAGGCTGGGTCCCAAATTCTCACCTGCTGGGAAACAGGATGATTTGCATCTCCAACAACATTCCCTCAGTTTGAATTTTGAGAAGTCTCCCTGCCCTTCCCTGGGAGCTGTGCCAACTGATGAAAAGCTCCAGGATCCAGGAGGAGGGGGCTGGACCAGGGCATTCATCATGGGCCAGATAATGGGGACTTGTACAATAAGCCTGGCAAGTCAGGGACTCTTGGTGTCCCTGGCCATTAGGATTTTCCAGGCCAGACAATTCACCTGACAAAGAAGGAAAAAGCATTTAACCTTATTCCAATAAATAAATAAATATAGACTACATAATTCAAATTACAAAATATGTTTTAACAGAAGAGCTTTGCTTCAGATTTCCTTTAAATAAATAGCAAGGCCCCAGGTGCAGCATGATTTCATTTACAAAAATTCAATTAACACACAAGTTTTCCCAAAAAACATATGTCAGGGTACCTTCTGGAAAGTCCTACAGGAGGAATAAGTGAAATCAGATTTAATGACTCAACTCCTGGCAGAAATATTACTTAGTTCCAAGGGGGCTACAACCTGTTTCCCAGATCTTCCTAACTTAACATCTGGTTCTGTTAATGTTTCTAGTTCTCTGCTAGGACTCAGCCTATTGAACCAGGCATGTAGACAAGACTAGTAGCTGGTTTAATTTGCCAAATCAGAGATCACACCAAGTCCAGGTCAGAGACCTTACACTCCTGGGAGACCCCTGTAGTCATGACAACTTGCTACAGAAGTCCATTCTGCTAAGTTCCATTTTCACCATTTATTAAATATAAGTCAGCTGAGATGGGACCTATGTACTATCTCCTGGGATTGGCTAAGGCAATAAATCAAAGACCGTTCCATCTGGGTGCCAGCCTGTGGTTGAGGACCCCTAATCAGCAAGACTTTTTCCAGCGTCATGAACCAAACAGTGATAAACTACTAATGGAGAGAGTGTTGGCTGCTGCCTTTGAGCTCAGGTGCAGGTGATGGGTGATGGATGAGGACACTTGAATCCACCTGCAACTTCTAAGGAATTCTTTGACCCTCCTTCTCTTCCTTTAGTCAAGTAAAGACAGGGCTGGCTTCTTGCCTTCCTTTTCCTGAAGAACAGGCTAGGAGCCAGAATTGGATCACATGAGGTCTTTTCTTTGAGGAGACTCTGCTCTGTTCCCTCCTGCTTCAGCAACCAGCTCAATATTATATCCATTCATTTAACATATCTTTTATTCAGTACTGACTAGGTTTGGGGCATGGAGCTAGGCTCTGGGTTCACAGTGTACAGGAAACAATCATTAGTACCTGCCCACATGGAGCTTACACTCTGGTGGAGGGAGACCATAAACAGAGAAATAAATATATAATTACAAATTATGATAAGAGTCATGAAGGAAAAAAGCAAGGTGCCATGAGAGATATTAACAGGTTAGGGGTCTAGGAAACTTCTGAGACAGTGACATTAAAGGTGAAACCTGAAGGGTAAACAGGAGTCAGTCAGACAAAAGTGGAAAGAAAGAATATCCCAGGCAGAGGGAATGAGAAAAGACTCTGATGCAGCATAGAGTTTGGGATATTTGAGAAACAAAGGACCAGTGTGGCCAGAATCTGGTACACTAGAGGAGACCGGGGTAGAATGATGCTGGAAGGGATCCAGGTTAAATAGGATGCTATATGCCCTATTGAAACATTTGGGTTTTTCTAAGTGCACTGAGTTGTAAGCAATGGAGTAACCTGATTTAATTTTTGAAAAGTCATTGCTCTGTGAAAAATGAAATGAGGAAGGCAAAGAGAAGAAGGGAGAGATCAATTAAGAGGCTATTGTAACTCAGACAAGAAGTGATAGTGGCTTGAACTCCGCCAATAGCAATGTAGATAGAGAGGCATGGAGGATTCAAGATACATTTTGATGTAGGGAACAGGGGAGAGAGCAGTATCAAGAATTTCACTGAAAAATTCTACATAGAGCAACTGGGTGGAATGGATGGAGATGCCATTTACCAAGATGAGAAAGATCAGGAAAAGGTTGAAAGGGAAGAGATTGAGTTCAGAATTGCACATAGTACGTTTTGAGATTCCTGTGAACCTTCCAAATGAATAAATAAATTGGTAATCATCAGCAAATAAATGGTATTTAAAAGCAAAGGAGTGGATGAGACTACCTAGGAAAAGACTATAGAGTGAGAGAGAAAAGAAGAGGAGAGAAGCAGAGACATGAACAGAGGAGAGGCAAAACTAAGCCCTGAGGAAATGCAACACAGAGATCTGATAGAGAAGAGCATCTGGAAAAGGGACCCCGGAAGCAATGGCCAGAGAGAAAGGAGGAAACCAAAAGAGTTGATGTCACTGAGGTTGAGAGAAAAGGATATTTCAAAAAGATGAGTTTGGTAGACTGTTTAAGTGTTTCTGAGAGGTCAAGCAATGTGGAGGCCATTGATGACCTTCATGAGGTTAGTTCTGATGAAGAAATGGAGGTACCAACTACACTGGAGTGGGTTCAAGCATGATTGATGGAAGGTGAGAACAGCTTGCAGAGGGGAGCAGAGGACTAGGGTAATAAACGGCTAGCTTCTCACTTTGGCCTCCTTGCCAGGTCGGCTACAAACGTATTCCATCTCTCCTCCCAGGTTTTCATGGCAGCCTTTTTATCAATATCCAACAAGGTGCTGAACCTGCAGGAGAAAAGGCACTCAGGTCAGGAGAAAGGGTTGGGGAACAGGTGAGGGGATCTCAGATGCTTGCAGGGCACATTGCTCCCCAGTCCAAGAGCAATAATGAAACCGAGGCGACGTGGAGAAAACACACAGAAACCTTCCAGGCTTCTGCCCCCAAACTCTAAGAGAGATAAACACAAGTTGTGGGATGGAAGAGGGAGTTGGGGATCTGGGAAGTACACAGGATACTCACTTGATAGAGTTCATGGCCAGCTGTTTGAGTGTCCTCAGATCGGCCGCCATTCCCCCAATGCCCATGAAGGCCTCATAGAAATCATAGGATAAACCTTTGGCACCAAAGACAGCTGGGTCATCAGAGCTGATCACCATGGGGTACCCAGTGGCCATCAGAACAGCGGCAGGGTGGTTTCTCAAGTCAGACACCAGTTTCAGAACCTGCCAATAAGAGGCAAAGGAGAAAGACAAACTTTGACCCATAAAAAGAGTTGTCACAAGAGAGGCAAGACCATGAGCATAACCAGCTCCTTTCTTATCTTCATCGCCACTGAACATTAGGATGACTTCTGGGTACAACACAGGAATAGAGCCAGTCCTGTGCTCTTCCTAATTTTCTCCAAGTTTCTTCACGAGCACAAACATTTGGTCTCTCTTGGTCCGGCTCAGAGCAGCTCTCCTGAACAGAGCAAGACAGGCAGGTGCACAAAGAACCCCAAGCATCTGTGGGAACAGCAGTATCCAATGGCCCCTCCCACTCCACTGGTCTTCCTTACTGTCCCTTTAGCTTTGTCTATCGCTTTGCCCCAAATTCTACCCCACTGGGGACCCTCACTGCTGCCTCATTGTTATGAATGGGTTAGGCAAGGGGTCATTCCTAAATAATTATTAATGGGAGTGAGACAGTGGAGGAATATAGAAAATAAGTGAGCTAAGGAGCAAGAAATTATACAGTAGGGTGCCTGGGTGGCTCAGTCGTTAAGCGTCTGCCTTCAGCTCAGGTCATGATCCCAGGGTCCTATGATCGAGCCCCGCATCGGGCTCCCTGCTCGGCGGGAAGCCTGCTTCTCCCCCTCCCACTCTCCTTGCTTGTGTTCCCTCTCTCACTGTGTCTCTCTCTGTCAAATAAATAAAAAATATTAAAAAAGAAATTATACAGGAAAAAGTTTGGGAAATCAGAACAGAGGCTGAGATTGGAGGGTTGGTTGCATGGATCACGCATACCTGGTTGGAGATGGGACAGACTTCTATGGGGATGTTCTTCTTCCAGGAGTCAGCCCAGACTGCTGGGTGTTTGGTCAAAGCAAATCCATGGCCAATCCTGGTAGAGTTCAGTAGTAGAGCATCCAGAAGGTTTCTGTCTATGGAAGTACCCTGCCAATCTGGGGAAAAAGGGATAGTCTTCAGTCAGATGGATCTGGCCCAAAGACAATCCTCAGATAAAGTCTCCAGATCAAAGAACATTCACACACAAACATTCACACACATACGCATTTTCCTTGTAACAATGCTAACGAAAGGTATGGCAAGCCTTTATTTTATGTATGTATGTATGTAACAGATGAAGAAGTTGAAACTTATACAGGCTTTATAAATTGAAGGAACATATTCAGTTAAGTAGTAAGACTGGGTTTCAAATCTTGGTCTATCTGACTCCACAGTCTATATTCTTTCTTTCCATTTTTTGTTTGTTTCCAGAGCTATTTTCTGGGAATTTTATTATTTTTACAACAGTGTGTTGCAAACTCTCTCAATATAATTACTTGTGTGTACTTACTCAATTTATATCTTCAACAATATCAATTGCAACATCAATTGCAAGATTACAATGACCAGCACAAAATGGTGGCAGATACTGTTGCCTGCCTATTTACCAGCCACCCCCACTGTATCTTCCTTGCTGGCAGGACGTTCTTTGGAGGGTGAAAATAACAGGTCCTGACTCTCCCAGCTTCCCTTGCAGCTAGGATGGTCCTAATGCTGGTCTGGAAGGTTATTTGTGGGGAGCTCTTTGGCTTCCTTCCTGATAAAAGGAGATGCCCTGGAGGAAATATCTTGTCTTTTGCTTCATTGAATTGGTTACACCTGAATGTAACTTGACTACCTGACAACCAAATAAGGTGAAACCCTGGACTTGATGAGGACAGCAGAGGTCACTTATTATGTAAAATAATAGATGATCTTGGGGCACCTGGGTGGCTCAGTCACTTAAGCGTCTGCCTTCTGCTCAGGTTATGATCTCAGGGTCCTGGGATCAAGCCCTGCATTGGGCTCCCTGCTCCGCAGGAAGCCTGCTTCTCCCTCTCCCACTCCCCCTGCTTGTATTCCCTCTCTCGCTGTCTTCCTGTCAAATAAATAAAATCTTAAAAAAAATAACAACCTATTAAATGTGTGTATTCCATCCCTGGCAGCCAAAAGCATCCTAACTGATCTACATGTAAAGTATGAAAATTCCCCTTTTCTGTTAGGAATAAAACCCCAGAATTCCCACTGCTGGTTAGGGTATGTGTTTCAGGTGGATTTTCACTGGTTTCCAATCTAGAACTTTCTTTTCAAAGATCGCTCCCTATTTATTTATTTAAGATTTTATTTATTTATATGAGAGAGAGAGTGAGCATGAGCAGGGGGAGGAACAGAGGGAGAGGGAGAAGCAGACTCCCTGCCCACTGAGCAGGGAGCCCGAGGCAGGACTCGATCCTGGGACTCCAGGATCATGACCTGAGCCAAAGGCAGACGCTTAACTGACTGAGCCACCCAGCACCCCAGATCTCTTCCTTTTCATTTCATTTAAAGATTTTATTTATTTGAGAGAGAGAGAGAGAACACACGAGCAGGGGGAGTGGCAGAGAGAGAGCGAGAAGCAGGCTCCCGCTGAGCGGGGAGCCCAACATGGGGCTTGATCCCAGGACCCTGGGATCATGACCTGAGCTGAAGGCAGACACTTAACCGCTTGAGCCACCCAGGCACCCCTCTTCCTTTTTAAAAATAAGAACATGACTCTTGGGTATTAAATACCCAGCTCCTGGCAAAATCCTCTCCTAGGGCCATGCATCTTAGAATGTGGTTAGATCCTGTTACAGTGTTTCATACTGTTGAAATGATTTCACACAGGTAAGTATGATTTTCCCAACTAGACCACAAGTTCTTCAAGGTTAACAACCCCTACCCCCTTAATCCCATCCCCCCAAAACAATTCTTCAAATCTCCTAGAACAACTTTGATCTAAATTGGACTCAAAATGACTTGAAATGTCAGGAAAAAAGAGATTAATGTACATGGACCCTTCCTCTGAGAGATGGTTTGAACCTGGTTGTGAAATTCAAGCCCCCACTGCTCTTCACTTATCTCCTTGGTCTTCTAAGGATGACAGGTGCCTAAGGTACTCAGGGACACCCAGTGGGATGCAGCAGCAAGCTTTCCTCCTGGTATCTTCATTTTGACCTGAAATTGCAGCCATGATCTGGGACTCCTTTTGCTTAAGGTTTACACATTTTAAGGACTGTAATATGAGAAGGTCTGAGAGATGACCTATGAGCCTGTGGAGTGAGCTTAGGGGAACAAAGATGTGGCTAGGCTAATGGCATTTCAGAAACAATAGCAGCAGGCCTGCTTGAGCTGGGTGGGGGTCTCCTCTTCAGCACCTGGTGAGTGTGGACAGAGCCTCCTAGCTGTTAGAGCAGTCCTGGTTCTAGTCCCTCTTCTATCACTTAACCCGTGTATGACTTTGGACAGGTGAATTAATCTTTTTTTTTTTTTTTAAGATTTTTATTTATTTATTAGAGAGAGAGCACATGAGAGGGGGGAGGGTCAAAGGGAGAAGCAGACCCCCAGCCGAGCAGGGAGCCCGATGCGGGACTCGATCCCGGGACTCCAGGATCATGACCTGAGCCGAAGGCAGTCGCTTAACCAACTGAGCCACTCAGGCGCCCGAATTAATCTCTTTAAGCACAATTTGTGCATTATAAAATGGAGATCATCAGAAAGGGCTCAAATTCAAGCTTCACTAATGACTAGCTCCTTGCCCTTGGACTAACCACTCTATGTTTGGAGACTTGGGCTCTTCAACTATAAAATGGGAAGAAGGGTGCCTGGGTGGCTCAGTTGGGTAAGCATCCAGCTCTTGATTTCAGCTCAGGTCATGATCTCAGGGTCTTGAGATTGAGCCTGGTGTCCAGCTCCACATTTAACGGGGAGTCAGCTTGAGATTCTCTCTCCCTCTGCCCCTCCCCCCAAATAAATAAAAAATCTTTTAAATAAAATAAAATAGGGATAAAAACACCTTCCTAGCAGGACTGGGGTGAGAATTAGAAATAATATATGTGGGGTGCCTGGATGGCTCAGTAGGTTAAGCGTCTGCCTTTGGCTCAGGTCATGATCCCAGGTTCCTGGGATGGAGTCCCGCGTCAGGCTCCCTGCTCTGCAGGGGGTCTGCTTCTCCCTCTCCCTCACCCTCTCCCTCTGCCTGCTGCTCTCCCTGCTTGTGCTCTCTCTCTGTCAAACAGATAAATAAAATCTTTAAAAAAAAAAAAGAAAGGGCGCCTGGGTGGCTCAGTTGGTTAAGCAACTGCCTTCGGCTCAGGTCATGATCCTGGAGTCCCGGGATCAAGTCCCGCATTGGGCTCCCTGCTCGGCAGGGAGTCTGCTTCTCCCTCTGACCCTCCTCCCTCTCATGCTCTCTGTATCTCATTCTCTCTGTCTCAAATAAATAAATAAAATCTTAAAAAAAAAGAAAGAAAAGAAATATGTGAAGTGCCAGATACTGTTATTATCATTGCTATTCCTTCTCCAAGGGTTGCCATCAGGATTAGGCGAAATAATGCATATGAAATGGACAAGTGTCATAAAAGGACTATCAACAGTTTCAATACTGCCCCAGGATCCTATCAGTTCTCTTGAATGATGAGGAGGAGCCCTCCTATCGATCACCTCCTTTGTCCTGCTTGTCTCCATATGGCTCACCTGTCTCTCCAGCATGGAAAAAGTAAGGCAGTTTAACGCCATGCAAGGTGGGAATCATCAAAGCCTCCCTGTAGTCATACAAGGAGTGGCCAGTGTCCTCACGCCCCACCTGCAGAACACAGAGGAGAGGACATGGAGCCATCTGCTTGGTCCATGCCTCAGCTGTCACTACAACAAAATTATGCTTTTCAAACTAAACCACACATACCCCCAGGGTTTTGTAGCTGTGTGCCAAGAGTAAGGGTGCCTTAGGATAAAAAGGTACCTCCTTCAGGACACCTATTTTAATTTGTTGGGGGTGGGGGACAATCAATGACACATTTTTATAATAAGCCAAATACGGATATTCAATGTAGTAGAATAGAGTGCAGGCTTGAAAGAGAGTTGGAGCTTGTGAGTAGATCCCTTTGAACAACTGCCTATCCCCCTTCCAACCCCAATTTCCCTCGGGACTTGTCCATTACAGTCCTTGTAGGGACTGTTCTGGAAGCTCTATACTAGAGGTGCTCCTTCTCAGCCCCCTTTTCAGTGCTGCACACAGATGGAAAAGGTGGGATGAGGGGGCCTTCCGCCCCTTTCAGGAGAGGTCAGACCCTTTGAGCAACCCCCAGGGATCCTAGGAGGCCATCCCAGGTCCAAACAAAATGAGTCTTTGAAATCTACCCCTTTGAGCTCTGGATGGTCTGAAAATAAGAGCTTAAGCACAGACTCAGGTAAAATGTACAGATTCTATAAAAGGGAGTCAGGAGTGCCTTTCAGCCAGTTAGTTCAAATTAATTTAGCTTCCTTAATGCGATTGATGAGCTGTCATCTGGGAAGTGTGCCCTGGCTGGCTTTGATTTGGTGGAGGGGCAGGGGACAGTTTTGCCCAGGATTAGCCCCATCTCTGCTTCCAGGACACACATACCTCCCCCCCATGTGCTACAGTTTTAAGAGCCAGCTGTGGGTGGGCAACGTGGGCTAGAAAGAGGGCGGAGGGCAGGGGAATGGGAGTAAGCCCACCATTACTGCCCAACCTCCTTGAATTCTCCTTATTCTGGAACTCCCCCTTTCAGCCTTCTGGCCCTTATTGCACCCCTTTCTCTTGTGACTGCCATCCTCCTGCAGGCCCCCAGAGAAGGCCAGCGCTAAACTCTGGCCAGGCCTGCGCCTCTGCAGAGGATTTCCGTGGGAGCCGCCAAGGCCTTCAGGAGGAGCTGCCTATGGGACCCCACTCTCAGACAGCTTCGTCGTGCACAGTCGTTACCAGGTCAAACCCTGACACCATCCTGGGGAACATGGCTCGAAGCATCATGGCTGTTTGGACGGATTTCACGATGAAGGACACATTTTTTATTCTGTGAGAGAGACAGAGAGAAGCAGGGGCGACAGCGTGACTTGGCGTCGGTGGTGCTGTGTACCCTGGAGTGGCTCCGCCAGCACCTGGGGGGTCCTCAGCAGCCCCTCCCCACTGCCCACATGACCCCGGCCTGCTCTTGTCATCCCTACCAGTGGCTACATCTGTGAGCTGTTTCGCCCAAATCCAACCCTATCGAGGACTCTGGCTGGCTCCAGAAGGACCCACAGTGTCTGAAAACAAGTGAGGAAGGGAGACCCATGGGATACGCATCATTTATCTACATTTGGATGACGCAGAGAGGCCTCGTCCAAAACTTGCCCTGCATCCGTGAGAAGGTGGCTCCCAGAAGTGGGTGCAGTACAGAGCCCGGCTCTCTGGTCACTGGGCACCTAGGGAATGCAGCAGATCACCCAGGTCGCTGTCCGGTCAGCTGGGCCTGGCAACGCTATGTCCTCTGCCCCCCGTTCAATCAGCAAGGCCCTGGGCACTCCAGAAACCATACAAGCGAACTGTCTTCTCTCCACACCCTCTCTGTTCAAGTCCGAGATAGGGATGAGGCAAACAGCATGACAACAGAAGAACCGAAGGGAAAAGTCTGCTACAACTCTGTGACAGGACAAAGGTCTTTGCACAGCAGCTGGCTCACTGTTCCTCAGTTCTGGGGGCCTAAATTTCTCCTGCCACCTTCCCCCATAGTGCTCACTCCCTCTCCTGCAGAGCTCCAAGGGAACACGGAGCACTGACCAATTGCAGCCCAGCACTCACACCCTCCCACCGCTGACTCCCAGGGAGCCTCTGAGGGGAACCAGTGGGGCCCCAGCCTTCCAGCTCCATCCCAGCTGCCTAGCACACAGGGATGGACCCCTGCTCCTGTGGGGTCCCCCCAAGCCCTCACAAGGAGGGAAGGGGATTCAGCAGTGATGGGGCGGGGCGGAGTCTGACTGCCCTCCGGAGTCCAGCTTCTAGGGTAGGCTGAGCAAATGAAGGAGCTGCCCCCCCCACACCCTCCAAGCCCTGACTCAGTGTGATCCCCATCTGATTGCTGCCCCGCATCTCCAGCCCTGTGGACGGGTCACAGGCTTTAGACTGGCTGCCCTTTGACAAGAGGAGAGAGCTGTCCTTTCGTACAATCAGAAGGAAAATTAAGCTATAAAGCTTTCTGTGCTTGTCCTTGTTCACACCACCAGGTCCCACATACATCATCCTGTGGGGTGTCCACACACGGACTCTGAGATAGCTGTCACTCAGGGCCGGGTCACCAGACAAGGCCTTGCACACAGCCACCCACAGCACACATCAGGCAGAACCCCAGGGCCCAATTCAAACAAGGAAATGAGCCAGTTATCTGAACATACAGGCAAAAACATATCCATAACTGAGTCACCCAGGCCAACATGGGCCAGGGCCTAGAATTATCTGGAAATTTGCTACAGTTCTTCATTTCAGCTTAGTTGCAAAGATTCAAACTAGAAGTGACTTTAGAGGTAGATGTTTGCACCCATTTGCGAATGTACCCGCTGAGCCCATGGCTCTTTGGCCCTGGGGGTAGGTCTCTGATGCCAGCCTCTCAGCCTCCCTCTTTCTCCCTCTCCTCCCCTCCCTTCCTAGTGGCTCTGCCTGCAGCCCACCCATTCTCCCAAGTCCTGCAGCTTCAGCCATATTCTCTCTCACCTGTGATCTGAATAAATGAGTTTGATTCCAATAAACCCGGGATGCTCTTTTGCAAACAAAGAAGCCACTTCTCTGTAAGTCCTCACTGACCACTCTTGGCTATGGATGGTCCCATTCAGTTCATACACCTGAGAAGGAAGCATGATCATGATCAGACATCAGAGGTGAGTGAAACTTCATTCCCATTGCCAATAATCTCTAAAACCATGTTAGACTTTGCAATTTCCTTGCCCAATGCCTTCAACAGCCTCTGACATTTATCAGAAGTTCTAGTCCTGGGGCGCCTGGGTGGCTCAGTTGGTTAAGCGACTGCCTTCGGCTCAGGTCATGATCCTGGAGTCCCTGGATCGAGTCCCGCATCAGGCTCCCTGCTCAGCGGGGAGTCTGCTTCTCCCTCTGACCCTCCCCCTTCTCATGTGCTCTCTCTCTCAGTCTCTCTCTCTCAAATAAATAAATAAAATCGTTAAAAAAAAAAGAAGTTCTAGTCCTATCTGGGATAATGCTCTTGAACACCACAAAGCTGGCTGTCTGCCTGTCTCATTCATTGCTGGGTCCCTGTACCTAGAACAGTGCCTGGCACATGGTAGACGCTCAATAGGCCTTTGTGTAATGAATGAAGAACAGTCAGCGGGGGAGAGGACCCACTTCAACGCCCCACTTTCCCACCCCTAGGTGGGATGTCCTCTGAGGTGGACATGGTTAGGGGCAGTGACAAGAGCCAGCAACGGACAGTGGCTAAGACAAAGGAGAAGGAATGGGTATAAAGAGGTCCCCTTTTTGCAGGTTGGGCCACACCAAGCCTGCCGTGAGAGGCCAGAGGGTTGGAGTGGGCACATCCTCTGCAGCAACCTCTGCCCTCTCCTGTCACTGGGTCAGCTCTCAGCTCTGCACAAAGTGGCAGCTCAGGCTCAGGACCGGATGTAGGAGTTTCCAAAGAGATTGTGGGGCAGGGAAGGATGGGAAGAAATGATATGCATAAGTTATTTCCATGAACATCATTTAAAAACCTGCCGTGTGCAAGGAACCAGGCTAGGCCCTGGAAGGGGTAGACAAATGCTGGTAAGACAAGATGCCTGCCCTTAAGGAGTTCCCGATTTAGTGGAGACAGGCTCTATTCATGTTTATGATATAAAGCAGGAAGAATTAAGTGCTAAACAGAGGTTTACAGGACCTCCAAGGAAAAGAGGGTTCCTTTTAACTGGATAGGGTCAGAGAAGCTTTCGGGGGGGTGGGGGGCATGGCATTGAAGCTGGGCCCAAGGAGGCTGCTCCGTGCCGGCCCCCCTGGCTAAAGCATTGCTAGTCCTGTGTAGGGAGCAGCAGCCCCACACAGAGCCAGAGCTGCAGGGTCAGGGAGTGGAGGCTGAAGGGCAGAGGCAGAATGGGAGCCGGGAGCTCTGTCACCACCTGAAGGAGAGAAATCCTTTTCCCTCCCTCGGGTCAGCTCTTATATCCTGGAGCTGGAGCTTATATCCTGGTCGTGTGCAGGAAGCTCTTCTCATTTCCCCGCCAGTCACTTGCGTGCTCTCACTGGCCCAGGGGGCCTACCCTGTCCCTCCTAGCTGCACCCTGGAGATACTGCCTTCAGTACCGGGGCAGCCTCCCCAGCACCCTCTTCTCCTCAGGCCCACAGAGCAGCCTCGTGGCTCTTTCACCTCCGGAGGTCCTGTTCTGCAGCCTGGGTTGGGGGAAGTGGGGTGAATGGGCAGCTCTTTCCGGCCCCTTCTCTTGGGCCCATTGGCCTTGGCTCTTCAGTTTCCTTTGCTGCTGCCCCATTGAAGCCTGGCCTCTCATGCGATCCCCCATAAGGCTGCCTCAGCCAACGGGGCTCAGCACTGGCAGGTGAGTCTTCCCTGATTGCTTGGCCCAGGAGTGGACATGCTCAGGCTTACTGAACTTTAAAGCTGCCAGAACTTTCCAGAGGAGACAATCTTAGAAACTGCTAACTCAGTATCTAGTATAGCCGGTTACTACTATTATTTTTACTGAAGGGGATTAGAACATGCCACCCTAAAATATGCTACTTTTGCATAAGGATTATTTTGAGTGAAAGGCAATTAAGCAGCAAACACCAGACAGAGCTCTTTGCCCTCTTCCTATCTGCCTACAAGCAGGACATAAACTGTCGGTGAAGGTGCTCCCCCTTCCATCTCCCACACCAGGAGAACAAGGCTTATCACTGGAGACAGAAGGTCAGCACTGCCACGGGTCTGCACAAGCAAACCTTAGTAACGTAACCCTTATCTTCTATGAGTTTCCCCCATATATTTCCCTCCCCACAATTTACTGCCCCAGAAACCTAAACCCCTTTTCCTTTGTATCATCATTTCTCCATAATTTATCATCACTGGTTAAAACAGTGTATAAGCACCTGGCCTACCCACTTCTCTGGGTCTTCACTTTTTTCTACAAAGGCCTCCATGCACCCAAAAATTAAATATTAACATCAAATACAATGTGTATGCCTTTTCTCCTGTTAATGGGGCTTTTGTCAGTTTAATTTGCAGGCTCCCAAAACCGAACCTTAAGAGGGTAAAGGAAGGTTACTTTCATCCTCTCCTACTTTACCAAGGATTTTTTAAAGGAGAATTCCTGTCATTGATCAAGGCTTCAACAGACTTCCAGGTGCTCTGTTAGAATCTTCACAACTTTGATGCCAAAAGAACCAATATCCTGTACCCCAGCAGTACTCAACCTGTGGTAAGGGAACCCCTATGGATCCCCTAGACTTTTCCAGGCAGTCTGCAAAATCAAAAACTCTCCTCATAAAAATTTTAAGATGTTATTTGTCTTTTTCATTCTCATTCTCTCATGAGTATACAGAATTTTCCAGAAGTTGCATCATGTGTGACAAACATTGCTCTAACAAATAATGGATTGTGTGCTTGTGTAGTCTTGTGTTTTGAAATTTTCTGTTTTAATTTCTAATACAGGCTGGATTATACAGGATATAGTAGATATAATCCATATAAACAAAAGTTCTTTGGGATCCTCCAAAATTTTTGAGTGTCCAAGTTTGAGAACAATGCATTAAGCCAACCCAGAATTGATACTTGAAGTTGTCTCGGCATTCTGCAGCTGATTTGCAGAAGGGAAGAACAGAATTCTTCCCCAGGCCTTGACTGCTGTGTCATTACTGAGTCCCCCGCCCAGACACACCAACCGGATTCTAAACCACCAACGGTAGGGTCCAGCTCCTTTGGATCGTCCCACCTCCCCTCCTATAGCAGCAGAGTAGGAGCTCCACAAATAAGCGTTAACTTAAAAAAAAAAAAAAAAAAGCGTTAACTTAAGAAGAGCATTGTCCACTAGCAGTTTCAAAAGTACTAAGCCCCAGGCGGCATGTTTTAGAGAAGGGACGGATAGATGGACACTGGGAGGGGTGGCCAGTAGAGTAGTGCCAGTGGAACAGAAGGGAAACAAAAGAACCTTAAAAAAAAAACAAAAAACAAATGACAGTTCTGCCTAAAAGAAGATCCTTGGCATATTAAGCAAGTATGTACAGATATGCAAATGACACAGAGGCATGATGGGGGGTTTGCATATGGTCGGAGTTCCATCAATTCTATCACTCCAGTACTTACTGTGGGAGAATCTGGGACTCCTGCCTTGCAGGGTTCCAATCCCACTGCCAGTTCCCATAGTGTGGAGAGCCACAAAGATGGAATCTGGTCCCTGGGGCTGCAGATGTCAGAGCCCTGTCTCTTGGTGCCTCAGTAAATCACCACCGGGGCTGCCCCTGTCTTGTGCTCCTGGGCCTCTGGCCCCTGGCCAAGAAACTGCAGGCTTTATGGAAGCACCTAGGATAGGATCTGAACGCTCAAGAGCACCCCCATTTCAAGGAGCAAGAGACCCTTTTCACGGGGAGACCTGCAACTCCTCACAGCCTCACAGCCATTCCACTACTGGTTAGAACACTGCTGTGAAGCCAAGCATTTAAGGAAAGTTCTCAGCTGGTTAGGGGGTTCTGGGCAGCCTTCTGGGTTCCAGCTCCCAGGGGAGGTATGTTCTGCCCCAGTCAATCACACCTCCCAGGGTCACTGCAAGGATCAAATGAGTTAATATTTGTAAAGCACTCAGAAATGATAACTGTTAGGGCGCCTGGCTGGTGCAGCCGGAAGAGCCTGTGACTCTTGATCTCGGGGTCATGAGTTCGAGCCCCCCGATGGGTGTAGAGATTACTTAAAAAGATAAATGAAAACATAAAAAAAAGAAATGATAAATATTAATAACAATGTTATTATTACCAATCTTATTACCGGATGTAGAAAAATGACTCAAAGTCTGCAGTTATCCTAGGAAGATGAGTTAATATCTAAGAATTTAACAATTATTAAGTACAAGTAGGTGGTGTCAGTCATTTATCTAAGACTATGTAATACAAAAGCTGCTATATCCATGTAATAAGCCCCCTTGAGTTGAAAACACTGGATTCAATGTAGACTATCTCCATTTTCATTATAGTTTTTAATTGTGAAACTATAAAGTTGGCTATTTACACAAGATCACAAAGTTTTATTGTCTATGATATCATGGAATTATAGAATTTTGAAGCTGGAAGGAACCGAAGGGAAATGTGAAAGCAGACAGGTGCTCAAGGTCACACAATTAGTTTGTATCAGACCAGAAGCCAGGACTCACAATTTCTAACTCGCAATGCCACTCGAGCACCATGCATTTAACATGCATTAACTGAGCTTCTATTACGTGTCAGGCAATGCCAAGAGCCTTATGTCATAATCTCCTTTAATCTTCAAAACCACACTATCAGGTAGTTCTCATTTTACAAATGAGGATTTTGAGGCTGAGAAAGGTCAAGAAACTCAGTCCTATTGCACAGTGGGAGTGAGGGGCTGAGGGATCTGCCGAGTTACAGAATCTTGCTGACCCTGAGTGTCTCCTGTCAGCAGCCCCTGTCTTTTACCTTTATACTCCAGTGGCAGATAGGGGTCTCAGCATCTCAGCTCTGGCTGCACATTAGAATCACCTAGGGAGAGGGAGATGCCTGGGTCTCATCCCAGACTAATTAAATCAGAATCTCTGGGGTAGAAGCTGGTTGTTTTTATTTTAACCTCCCCAGGTGATTCTAATGTACAATGTACAGCTAGGGCTAAGAGCTACCATTTTTG